TGTAAATGTTTTGTGCGTTCGTCGGTCGTTTTTTAAACAGATCTGTTGTAGTCGGTGTATGTTATTAGACCGATGCCGTATAAACCGAGGGTTTTGTCATTCACTTTGTCATAAAATTTTCATCATTGGTTGTCCGTTTAATGGTTTGTGGCAAGTTTCGTGGCGGTTGTCTCATGCAGTAAACCGTAAAGCATTTTTCTAGAATTCTTTTTAGTTACCACCGGATATGCATGGTGTACGTGTAGTCTAAGGGATCGTCTAACTGTGCGTAGCGTAGCAGAAAATTGTTATTCTCATCGATGAATCAAAAATTACTAGTCCCGTTATGAACTCGCAGTATCGAAGTTTCCTTTTATTCGTTTTAGTATCATTCATTTTTAGACTGCCTGCTAAGGCCGCTAAAGGCAATGGGACGGAGCGAATCTGGGGAAGCAACTTCTGTGTTATAAAGAACGGCGATATAAAAAAAAAACAAATTTACACCTTGCTCTAATTCGCGTACTATATATAGTCAGCGATCAGTCGGTTTGGGCTAATTGCTGCATGAAAATTGCACATTGCCAACGTCTAAAAAGTAGCTTTGGTTAATAAACCCCTAAATATTGTCTATTGTTTTTTGTCATTTTTAATTCTTGTAACATGGCTATGAAAACAATCTAAGACAAACGAAATGTTTCTTCTACAAGTACCTTTCGAATCCTAGGACGATCTTCCTCACGCTGATGAGGGAAAAAGTTCAAAAAATATTTTATTTTTGAGGTACTATCATTATTGTTTTATTTTTGTTTAATTTTGACTTTTGACGTTTTGAGTCTCAGAACTGAATTTACTAAATAACACGTTGAAGTTGCTTTTTCAAGGAACGGCAAATGACACCAATGCATAAATCGTTCAAGATGGATGCATTGACAGAAAACGTCGCACTGTTGCTGAACTCTTTCTTTATCGCTACTGATCATTTACCCCAGCAGAAATACTTTGTATGCATTTACATAGGAAATATAACGTAATATGTGAAGAATTTGGAATAAACCGAGTTTAAAGGTACATTATTAGAGACTAATAATATACGTCTCTAATAATCCTTTTAGCATGTAATAAGGTAATATGCCGGATTCTGTTCTAATTCAGATGTCACTGTTTTCTCGAGGTAACAAAGACTCAGGGTTTTCATGTTGTCTTGGGCAATAAATATTAGCGATGGTTTTACCTTGGTTGTTATGTTCTATTGGACAGAGGAAATTCGATCTTCAGTGATTCTTATCCACGTTGCTGTTACAAACTGATTTTGCGCTCGTTTATTGTCCTTTGGAACTACCAGTGTAATATTTGTTTTATCGAGCGATGGTTCATTCTTCTTGTGATGGCGTAATGTGCTCATGTCGCACATTTGCGCATTCATTTGTCTTCATATTTCCAGCATACATTTTTTCATGATGCCTTGCACATAATGTAGTTTATGAACTGGTTCCATGTTGATAGTCCATATTTCACATCCATATGTTGGCACTGTTAGCACGTACTGACATGAGAATGTTCCGTTTCAAGCACAGTGACAGTTTCCGAATCAGTGTTCTCAATCTTTCTGAAGTGTTCGGTAAAGTTTTTACTGTTACTGATTCGATTCTCTGTTGCAGAAGTCAGCTTTCCAAGATATAACGTACTATTGTACCTCTTCAGGCTTTAGTCCTTCGAATTCCTCAATGTCATATAGTTATCACGTATTTGTTAAGCATGGACTGAGTGTTCTTCAGGTTCATTTTCGGTTTTAATTTGATGGGTGTATCGTTCAGGTTTTGAATACTTCTGTAGACATTGTGGAGATCAAATTATCGGCGGCAAATTCCAGATAGCTTAAGTAATGCCGTTTATCGTCAACTCTTGATTTTTCTAATGCAGTGTCTTACAAAGGTCTTCCAAAATATCTGTGAATGAGTACGATGAATTAGTGTGCTTGCTTCAAATGCGTGAGTGGCAAGATGCTGTTTTTCTACAGAAGCCTTTTACCATGTAATCGAAAATTTGGACAAAGAATACAGAAAATAAATTAATTCGATGGTCAGTGGCCGCTCTTTTTCATCGGAGTCTTCCGATTCAGCCGCCGGCAGTAATTATCTTCCAGTTAATAATACCGAGTGTGCAGAACGAAAACTGTTAAGTACAGTTATACTTTCTTTACAGCTATATTGCGGTAGTGTAAGGCGGATGAAGTTTAAGTCATTACACCATGTAATACCGCAGTAGTGCACCCCCTACATTTTGTTCCTTCAAGACGCCTAGGGTACCATTTACGCACGCCACGGTTTCATGGTATTTAAACGACTGCAGTGCATTGGGCACCCACACACCATGTCACTGACTTTGGCCGAACAAGAACATCCATACGATGCAGCCGTGGCCTGGACAGGTGGTACGACTTGAAGTAAGTAATGGTGCGGTGAAAACTCGTCTAATGATTCCCATTCGTCTTCCACTGCCGCAAAATTGCTGCAAGACTGAGGTTTGCTGAGAAGTAGATGAACAGCAAGAATGTTAGTGGCTGAACAACGTATTACTATCAACGTGAGGTGCTCTATACGGAAGGCAATGTTGCAGACGATACAGGTTAAACCACAACAGAGGAAATGTAGTACCGACGTTCTGAGGGTGACTAACATAGAAGGTAGCTTTTTAAAAACTTCAGCAGCTATAAAAGTGGAAAACCTTTGATTTCAGTTGCGCGAATTGAAGCTGTTTCTGCGAAATTTTTTTTCGCTTTTAGTACATCATCCGAAACATTGTTAAGAAACCCGTTTTTCAGTTTACCGCCTGTTTTTGAGGCATCGTACGGAAGCGTTGAAGAACATGCATTAAGGTAAATGCTCAGACATGGCCAGCATTGTTTGGACACACAGTTCATAGTAAATTAAGACTTTAGCCTCATTTTTCTGCTTGATACTGCAGCCGTATCACCTGCCTCAGTTATATTGAAGAAATGGACATAACTCGACAGTTTTAGAAATTATAAGCCACTTTTAATTTATTTTATTGTCTCATTGTGCATTGTATTTGGTATCAGGAAATTATAAATTTTCTGTTATTTATCTCTTTGTTTCAAACGCTATGCATAACGCTTCGTTATACTTTTAGTTGCAGCTGTGGGATACCGGTGGACTTGAACGGATCGCCACGGTGACCAGTGGTTATTTCAAGTTTGCCCATGGTGCCATTCTGGTGTTTTCTTTCGACGATTTCAGTTCTTTCAATGTACTTCCGCAGCACCTGTTGGACATCGTGACCAGTGCAGAGAAGGCGAGGATTTATCTCTGCGGAAATAAACAGGACCTGGCCAATCGGAGCACCCGGCCTACAGAAGAGGACATTGCACTGTTCTACGAAGAGAACCAGATCTCAGGAGAGCAGGTGTTCGCTAACACGTTCAAAGTCAGCTGCAAAACGAACCAAGGTGTACATTTGTTGTTCGAGAGCATCGCACGCGATCTCGCCTCCCACTTCATAGCGCCGCCCGACCAGACCATCTTCATGCTTAAGCCACGAACCGACAACAAAAGCTGCTGCTCAAAAAGCTGACAAATTTTTTTGGTCCCTGGTAATTTTAAGAAAATTGCTATGATTTTTGTCGAATGTTAAGGGCTATTTTGCGTAAAATATTTTCGAAGTAGGATCTTTTCAAGAAGTTCTTTGATTCCATTTCGGTGGTTTTAGACGGATTATATTCACAACATTCTTCGTCACTAGGCCACAGTCTGGTCAGAAGCAAAAGTAATGTGAAACCGCTCAATCAAATGAGTCAGTTTGGAAAACCGCTTATCCCTTCGGGTTACGGAGTTAAACGAGTCACACAATGACTACAATGTTCCTAATCCTGTGTCAGCGTTTGAGATTCAGCGGAAGATAACCTGAGTCTGGAACAGAGTTTATAGACATTAGCCTTAGTCATTTCTATCCTTCTTCTGGGTGTACGACCGATCGGTCGAGCTAGTACTGTTTCTCTTTTCTTTCTGTAAGCCTTCACAAAGTAAAGCGGTTCTCTTTTAAGTAAATAAAATGTTTTAAATCACTTAATCAAAACAAAAAGCATGCTAATGAAAAACTACTAAACTGATCTTGCGCTGTCCCATCAACTAAAACGGACCGCTCATAAATCTGTGCCACAGAAATGTACAATAAATCGGTGCAACCGTGACACAGTATTTCACTGCGCCGAGATTCAGATATAAGTTAAAGACATCAATCGTCTTCTCATTAGGTACAAAATGGTTATATATGTTTTAACTATTAGTTCTGTAACTGTAACCCAATGTTCAGTATCGTTTTCTACGGAGCTCGTATTGTTCTACTGTCCACAGTAAGATTCATGAATATTCATTTATTTTCTATGGCCGCTTCTGCTTTCGAGTCGCGGAGGCAGACGTGTCAGACAGTGCTTCCAACGTTCCCGATTTTTTGCCAGAGTTTGAGCTTCGGTAGAAGATAAACAGTTTAGAGTTCATTCCTTCCATATATTTGCGCAAGGTTAATCTTTGCTGTCCGATGGACCTTCTGTCGGCAAAAGTAGTTGCTTCGCCTTCCTTGCTGGAAGCATTTGCAACACATGCGCAGACTATCGCAGCTGTGACTTCTCAGTCTGAAGAAGCAGCAGTTATACACCAAGGATTTCGAGGATGTCAGAATTCCGGACCATGCCGAGAGAGAAAGCCAACAAAACAAGATCGTCTGCAAACAGCAACCTTCACGTCTCAACATCTCCTACGCTGATACACTCATCGTCCTGACTATTCTATCCA